TTCTCACTCTATAGCAAATTGTGATGAGTGGTAGAGGAGGAGAAGAAGAAGAAAAATAGAAGGGTATGAATGTAAGAACCATCCATATTGGGCAGGGTAATACACTTGCACTCCTCGCCCTGGCAGAGAAGGAATTTCTTGTGTTTGGCCTTTCCATAGACACACGGGAGAATTTATTCCAAAATAATGTATGTTATTTAATTGGTGAGCATTCGCTACCTCTGTCCTAGATCATGCTGAGTAGGCTACCTTGTTGGAACAATTTACAAAACAAAGTTACTTGCCTATTTTTGTTACTCGAGACTCGTGTTATTGGCAAGTGACTATTATGGCAAATTTGAAAGACAGCTAAAATTGAAGAAATCAATTCAATTTGATAACCCTTCTTTAACTTCTTTTAGTGTCTACAGATGTTTTAAAGATATGGTTTAGAAAATAGAATTACTATAACCGTTAATAATTTCCAGCAGCATACAGCCATATAACGATTCCAGTGATATTGAACATGTGAAACGGCAAAAGCGAACCAAACTGAACTTTTTACTTTTGTTCTGTATTTGATTTCGGGTCAAAATGAACTGAAATACTGAACCCAGCCCTACTCCTGATTAATTGGTCTTAAAAGCGGCCTTGGACTGAGTAAATAACTAGAGATTAAGTTACAACTTAGGATATTGTTGATGAATAAAAGCCCTATGTTTTTCTACTCCCAAGAGTATTGGTGAGCAAGTTTTGATATCCTAACCCCTTATATTATCATTTGAAACGTAATTGAAATATAATACTAATGCCAATACTCCGATAGGAAAGGTTTTTAAAACATGAAATCAAGCCTCAAGGCGGTCAGCTAAGTCTCTTGGGAGTCAAGCGTTGAATTATAAATAAATTTTAAGTTTTACCTGTGTTGCTCCAAGTACATTGGTGGATGTTGAACCCGGATGGCAAAACAACTTAGGGGCTATTTGCTTGTGCTTTCGAACAGTGATTTATTGTAGAGATATAGGTAACTCTCCACCACTTATCTCAAATTGCACAGAAGAATTTTTTGTCTCCCTTAGGAAAAAACAAAACAAACCTAAATTAGTGGCTGAAATAATGCCAAATTGTGTCACTAATAAGTAATACTCTTCCACACGCGCAGAGTGGTGTGGCCTCTATCAAATATCAATTACACAGTTAGTAGTAATAGTCCAGTCCCATTTTTAGGTCCTGACATTATATTGCAAAAAAAACAGTTCCATGGATATTTTTAAAGTGCATACAATTGTTTACACTCCAGCGTTTTTTTTAATTAGCTAGGCAGTTTGCAGCAAATGATGCATTGTTGGTTTTCAATGAAAGTACCTTTGTGTTGTAGGTTATTTTGGGCGGGGGAAGATGCAGAAGCCTTTTGAAGAAGCATCTTTCGCACTTGCTGTTGGTCAGATTAGCGACATTGTTGATACTGAAAGTGGTGTTCACATAATCAAGAGAACTGCTTGATACATGGAAAAGAACATTAGTCAACATTTGGAATTGCAATGCAGGCTGAAATAAGTGAACAAGTTATGGAATATGTGTGACTTGGTTTCTTCCTGTTTGAAGTGCCTTTACTAATTTCTTGTTTGCCCAGACCCCCCCCCCCCCCAAACCCGAATGGACTGAAATGATGTGCTTGAACTATGTTTTGCTTGCTGCTATTGTGACTTGTTAATTGGTTCTTTCATGAAGATTTTTACCGTTGGGGCAATTTTTGAATTGTTTTTACGTTTCTGTTTTGTCCAAATGGGAAAGTCCAGATATCTTATATTCTAACAGCAAGATCATACCTCTTTGTTGAGTGCTAGCCCAATGATAGGCTGATAGCTTGTGGATAGCAGAAAGGGCCTTTCCATCATTGCTTTGTTACTTTGCATTTTCACATTAAAGAAGACAAGTTTGCAGGAAAACGAAATTGTTTGTGTGAAGGCTGTTTATTTGTTCTCTTTTGTTCTGACAGGCATATAAATATTGTTTATAGATAAAATGTTAGTTGCTTGAACAAATGATCTGTTCAAATGTTGTACTAGTGTTGTCCAAAAAAGATTTTACAAAAGCATTTTTTGTGAGCAAGGAGCCACGCCTCCACTTGGTGCTGCCTGCCTGTCTCATACTCTCAATCTCTCATGGCCGAGTAACATGCCCGAGAACCTAGGAGTACGGGTTACCTTGGTTGATGTTGAACACGGCTGGCATAGCAATTTAGGAGGTGTTTGCTTGTGAGTTGTGATTTTGATGAGTGGCTTATTATAGAGATACATGATGTGCTTAGTTTTAAGAAAAAAGTTTGAAAGTAGGTGTTTTAAAAAGTGTAGTAAAAGTTAATTTGTTTGGGAATAAAAGTGTTTTTGTATATTGTTAGGACCCATTTGGTAGTTTACTCATTAAAATTTTCCATGTAAAATGATTGCATGTAAAGTTAAGGGTTGTAAAATAGTTTACATGTAAAATAGAATACATCGTTTGCTAAAAATTCAATCGGGAACATATTCAAATTAATTCTTGAAGATAACTGCGCATTTTTGCTTTCTCGAATTAATTTGAATGTGTTCCCAATTGAATTTTTAATTGAAATTTGGTATGAGTAAACTAGACTTGATGAATAAGATGTTCAAAATTTTTCATCAAAAAATTCCACCGGGAACCGTCCCAAATCACGACGGCCGGACAGAATCTCCTATAGAAGGACTTAATTGATTTTTTTATGATAGTTTGAGGACCTATTTAACACATTTCCCATTTTTAAATTACACGCAAACAAAATTAAACATGCGTGACAGAAAAGGATTAATCCATCTCTCGTTGTCAAAACAGATTGAGCAAATAAACCAAGCACACATCGTTACAAGCTTTATATACTACATTACATACGTATAAACAAAAACAAACGTTTCTTTAAAAAATTACAAAAATTAACAAAAAAGAATTGCTTAGTACGGACTACAGAGTATATCAAATTAACGTGGATGGAGCAGATTTAAAGTATAAATTGTAGATTTGTAGAACCTCTTGTATACTACATAGGACTGGTAGGAGGAGAAAACCTGCCTGCAATAATTTTGCTTTACCGCTACGATGGAGTTTTGAGTGCTAGGTTGGAATCGAGTATATTTATTCCAGGTGTAAAGTAGTTTACTACCCTCTCCCACGTAAAATATTTTATATTTATTCCGGGAGTAAAGTAGTTTACTATCCTCCCCCACGTAAAATATTTTACATGGTACAGTGTAAAATGCTATTAAAATAGTGCCCTACAGTTTACATTAAATAAATAAAACAAATGATGTAAAATGTTTACTTTACATAGGGTAAAATGTCAAGAAACAACTGAAAACGGTTTTTTATGAGCAGGTTTGATGAACAGCCTGAGATGGGGGGGAGGGTTAGGCCGAACTCCCAATTCGTTTAGCCTTCGATCAGCACTCGAAAAGACTTGAATCTCAACAAAATTATGACCATCCCTAGCGAAAGTGTAGCACTTGCCATCTCCAGGCCGAACTGCTATGCTTATTAGCAGCTCCTGAAGTGTTTTTATGTGTCTTCTTTTAATTTGACACAATTATTATTTGTAAAGTGATTGAAAATTATAAGTTGTGCTTGAAATTCAAGTATAATAAAGTAAAATGTCATGGATCACATGTTTTTTTCAAAAATAAAATAAAATGTGACATTTATTTCGTGACAACTCAAAAAGGAAAAACAGGTAAAATGGGACGGACAGAGTATCTTTTTTTAGGCTAACCTCTTTTAAGGATATTTTATCCTGACTAGGCCATCGAATAACCTCCTTCAACCAACTTGTATAATCTGGTGTTTATTTCTTTTAGCCTTCTTATATTTGACCTCATTCTTCTTCAATTCAAAAAGGTGAAATCGCCTACCTAGATGTCCAATACCATTCCAAAATATTTGAGGAAGGAATGACGATATGATATCTAACAGTTTCTGAGTGAGGTGCTTCAGGGCTTGATTCACATAAGAAGGCACCACATTGGATGAAACTCACACATTTTCAATGCGAAAAAATTGAACTTCATACTTTAACCCAGTTGTTCTTTCTTCTATATAATCCACACAATAATGGATAGGATGCTATCAATATTAGTCTTAGGTTTCAATGAACCAATTAATGACCAAAGATTTCAAAGAGCTTTGTCGGGTATGAATTTTGTACTTTATAGTAAAATGATTCCAAGTATTCATAGCTATCTCAGTGCACAAGAAGAAATGGTCAATAGTTTCTTCACAAGAACAGAAAACACATTTAGAGGCAATTGGATATGCACTTTACTCATTTAGTCCTAATATTAGTCTCAATAGAGATGAATTGGTTCCATATTCTCCAAGGTAATGACATGTTTGGAGGAATCTAATTGTTCCAGATAGCTTTAATGAAAACAGACCCACCTTGACAATTCTAAACTGGTTAACGCAATCTTTGAATTGAAGTTATCCAAATTGACTTTCTTCAAAAAGAAGCAAATTCAAAACACTGCTTTTAGCATTTTTTAAGAAAATACGATAGTAGTATAGAAGTGCTTCTCAGAAGCTCTCTCAAACTGTTTAAATTAACTCTTTCAGTGTCTTTGATGTGAGCCCCCGACTGGCCACTTTACTTTTTAAGTTTTTTTGCTACTCTTACCATGGTTGTGACTTGTGAAGGACAGCAAAAAAATAAAAGTGAGAACACATGAGAAAGTAGTGATATTTATTAATCCAACGTTTGTTTGGGTCTATTTTATGAGCAGTGGTTGAAAATTACTTGTTTTTAGGAAGAAAACTACTTGTTATTAGAAGAGCGCTTTTAAACATCACTTATGAAAAATATCACAGTGAAGTGCTATATTTAAAATTACTACTCTTTGACATTGAGTTTGATGCGTCTAGGCAAAACATAAAATATCTATAAAAATCAACCTTTAATGAGAGATAAAGTGAAAAAATCATAGAGCAACTTTTGAATGTCTTGATTTGTATCCGTGTGAGAATATAATTTGTTTCGTGCGCTTGAACAAAAATCAGAATTTCCAATTAGAAATGAATAACTTGATTGAAGTACTCTTTTCACCAAGTCTGTGTACATGTTTACTTTCATCCCGACTATCCACCAACAGGTCTCAGAGTATAAAACCTTTTTCCCAAAATTTATGGGCTCTACCGGAAAATCCACCAACAAGACTCGGATAAAATTCGATACTAGTCAAATAATATTATAAAATACAAGCAAAGAAATGGTCCTCTTAAAGCAGGTAGTCCCAAAGCTCGAGAAAGGCAAAAAGTGAAGACGATGGAAATATATTAGCCATTTTCAGCTCGGTCATAAGAATTAGATTTGTGTTTTGGTGCAAATGAAAACCCATCAGGAACCTTGCCTAGCAACATTTCAGAGATCCTTATCTGCAGCCAGACATGAGGGAACCCAAGTTACAAAACAAACTAAAATTCAAGGACGCTTTTAAGTCTTTAAAGAAGATGATTATGGATTATAGACAGGTGCAAGTGCTAAAGATTATAGATACCCAATCAGCAGCAGAATCAGAAGCCATGAGTGTCTCAAGGTCATCTCGACCGTAGTATGCAGGTGCTCGCCAGTTTAATTTTTGAGGGATGACATCTAAAAGACCAACTGGGATATACCGACACGTGTAACTAAGCCACTCCAGCAAGAAGTGCCTGGTTGTCTCCACTCCTGCACCCGATTTAACATATCCACATTTTGCATTACTAATAATGTACTAATTATAGAAATAGTTAATAGAGATTTCATAGTTTTAGTTGAATTATAGGTTCCTATTCTATTAGGTTCAAGGTTTAGGTTCACTATTTCTATACAAATTATCAAGTTCTACGTTCTAAAATCATATCAATAAAGGTAGTAGCTTTTTATTGAGCAATGCCAGGGAAAAGGACAGTGTTCGCCAAAACATCTCTTCTACCACCTACCTTTTGAGTCAGAACCCCAGTGTTGAAGGCCAAAACGCACATAATCCTTGAAGATATCCAGTCGTTCCCCAGAACTAATATCCCAGTGCCTCTGTTCCTTGATTTCCGTGAATATCCAAGGCTGCAAAAGTAAAAACATGTTTATATATTCATACATAAAGACACACATACAGAGAAGAATTCTCCTCGGAGGTGTCTGAGGGAAATCCCATCAAACGCACTTTGTTTGGATAAACTTTTTTCATCCATTAGCACCAAGTATTAACTTAAACCATTGCATTATGTTAAAAATTCGATTTCACCAAAGATAAAACCATTTTTAAGGGTGTATTAATCTTAAACGTTATATAAAGTCTGAAAATGGAAATTGAGTTTCTTGTGTCTATCTTCGAACAAATTGAAGATCTAACGTTGAAATCAATATTTGATGGGAAAGGGGAAAAAATTGAATTGTTGAAGCAATATAATGGCCAAAAGGACGTAAGCTTGTGCCTGACAGGAGCACTATTATTCGTCGCTCTCATGTTCATATTGCCCATTCCTTTGACAATTATCTTAAGAGCCCGTTTGGTAGCATGAAAATGGGCTAATTTGGCTGATTCTGCTGAAATTTATGAAGTTGGCTGAAGTGGCTGCATTGGCTGATTCTGCTGATTTAAGAAAAAAATATTTTTAAAATATATTTTATTAATAAAATAAAGCAAAAGTTACATGTGAAAATAGCTAAAATGGCTATCTACAGTAACTTCAGCCAATACAGCCAGAAAAGTAACTTCAACCTTACTTTTTCTGCTTATTACACAATTCAGCGCGCGAAAGCAAAAACTTCATGTTTGGTGAAAAAGTTGGCTGATAAGCCGAAAAACATTGTTGCCAAACGGCATCTAAGTCGTAAACCGATAGAACTACAACCACTGCTAATGGTAGTGTCCTCATACACATGACTAGTGATGCAAAATAATATTCCCTACAAAAATTAATTACCTTTATTAGTGCACCTCGGGCAATCATACATGTAGAAAGCTCAGGGCAATCACTTTTGTGTTTATTCCAGTCTACATACGAAAACACATCACCGTTTCCGAATACTTGCAATGATTTCGGGGCCCTTTTTGCACACTGGTAGATGTATCCCCAATCAGCAAGCTTGCTATAACGTTGTTGGCGTGATCGACCATGTATAGTAACAGCAGTAGCTCCCCAGTTTCCCATATCTGCAATGAGGGAATCAATGCGGTTCTTACCCTCAAAATAACCTGTCCGTACCTACAAAGCATCAGAAAGGGTGTCACAGAGGATCTAAGAAACCCTTCTGATAATCCAGGCAAGGGAAAAGAGTATAATTGACTCTAGTAAAGCAACAAGCTACCTTGACGGTTATTGGTATATCAACAGTTCCCGAAGCTGCCTGTATTACACTTTTCATTCGCATTGGTTTTGTAAGGAGAGCTGATCCAGCACCCTTGTTAACCACAATATCAATTGGGCATCCCATGTTAATATCAATAAAGTCCACTGAGCACTGCTGTTCAATAAGATCAACAGTTCTTGCAACTGTGTCTGGATATGGCCCACATATTTGAACACCAAAAATGTCTTCAGATGAGTGACGCCTTAGTAGTGCCCATTCTGATGCTTGGCCCTACACACATGGGAGAAGGCAATCATTACTTTCTCTTTAGCTGCCAAATATGTTTCCAGACAATTCTATGCAATTCAAATAAAATTGTAAACAATAGCCCACCTGTAAAAGATTTGTGCACATTGCCATTTCACCACAAGTTATATCAGCTCCGAGCACCTTACATACCCTACGGAATGGTAGATTTCCAACCGTAGTCAGAGGGGCAAGGTACAGTTTCTCTCTGAAGTCGATAAGTTTCTTCTCACGTGCTTGAACTTTAAGGCTTTTATCAGACTCCGCATTAAGATCTATAGTTGATTCAGATGGATCTTCTTCATGGCTCACATCAAGATCCTTCTCATGAACATTTGAACCTGCTGAAAACATGCAACTAGGCTTCACATGTCATCAATAAACAGCTAAATGGCTTCTAGCCCCACACGAAAATGCTCAACTCACACACCATTGTTAGCATCCATACAAATAGGTGTTTCATCAGTTGAAGTTTTAGCCTTCTTTGGAGGTGGAGCATCTTCAATTGCATGAGCTTCATTCATATCTTCTTCTCCAGTTACCAAAAGAGATCTCTCCAATCCATTAGTAGCATCAGCAGCAACTTCATCGTCATGGGAGGTGGAAGAGCCTATCTTCGTTGTTTTAATATCTTCCTCTCTATTGGCGAACTTATTGTTTTTTATATTTCCCTGCTATTACAGTACCACAAAGTAAATAACAGCAGCAGAGGCTGAACGGGGTAAATCGTACAACATACTTGTGGATTATATACCAACATTAATACTGTCATAAGACACATATATTCGGAAAGGAATAGCCTCAATCATGGGCTATTCCACTCCAGTAATACAAATGTTTATAACTTTAAGACGTTATTAGCTGTATTAGTTAACTGTATTTTATTATCTTTATTATGTGTAAAGTGAAAAGGATCAAGTATTCCTTTTTAGCCGGTAGTGATAAAGGCATCCTGCAAAACTTCGATGCTATGCTTTTGCGCATGAAGTTGTGATTTTAAACAGCCATACAACACTTGTGATTCATACCAATTGGAATGAAAGAAATGAATCCAGAAGAGGAGCTTTGAGCAGAAAAAGAAAGAGGGAGATAGGGGAAGAATATTCATTTGTGCATTAATCATCCATCATTTATATGAAATTATTTTATTATTTGGTGATCTTTGACCCATTTAATTATGGGCCAATCTTTACTTGTTAGATCAAAGGTGCTATCAATTGAATAGTCTAATTATGTAAGAATGTTAGTTTAGCTGCTTATCAAGAATCTAATTATCTATTTCCTGATGAATGATGATTGTAAGGTCATATTCTTAATAATTTTTTAATAGCATGTCCACCATTACAAAATTGACTTGATGTGAAAGAATGAAACTCAGATGTGATTTCGTGTATTAGTATTTCACAATACATTATGCAAAATGAACTAAACAAATAATTTTGTTACTAAAACAAATGAGTGACAAACAGCTGTCACTCATTTATTTATCTATTTGACTATTTCTATTACTCCATCCCTCTGTGTGACCTAGAGGTCACAACTTCAAGTCTTGGGATCCGTCTCTTGTCAAAAATTTGACACGGGAAGGATTTCCCCTTATACACCCTTGTGGCGGGACCCTTCCCCGGACCCTCGCCTTGCGGGGATGCCTTTGTACACCGGGATCCGCTTTTTTATTACTCTATCCCTCTCCCCGAAAAATTTTCGTCCCATCCAAAAATAATGTTCTTATTTTATTGTAATGAAAATAACTTTTCATAGCACTTTTTCCTTTCCACAGCATTTTCCGAGATTCAAATATACCGAAACAATTATTAAAAGGCTTATATCCATTTTCTTTAATTATCAACTTCCCATCTATAATTACCCTGTCCTTCCCCGAATTAGTCTTGTGCTGTTCTAGAAAACTGCCTAGAGGGTGATAAAGTCAATTGATATGTTTACTGACCGTGAGTCCAAGACGTTTGAGAGTAGCGTCAGCTTTGGTAAACTTCACTTTGTTTTTCCACAAAAGTTTTTGAGTTTCCTTGTTCAATACATTTGATTCAGAGTTCTTCCTATGAGTTTTTGAAATTTCTTCGGTCAGAGCATCTCTGTGTGTACCTCCAAATCTACATGCCAACCCGTATGGACATGGCCCTTCAGTATCTAGGAAAGGGCAAGTTCCCTCTACATCAGCTGGTTTCTACATTCAATTGGCAACCAATATCAGTACAAGTTAAAACCACAAACAACAATAAGATTCTTGATTGAGAATTACCTGAGCAATAAAAGCTTCCAAATCATGGCTAAAGCGGCACCTATCATTGTAAGCACATGCACTGACCTTCCCTGCTTTTGCCACTACGGGGCACAGGCTTAGTGCAGATTTACGTTCCTAGGATTAGTAAAAATGACAAACTTCAGAAAATATTTAAACATAGAAAAAAACTTGGAAGAATAGAACATGCATATACATAGATACATCATACATGTACACACTCTGAAAAAACTTTAGTTCTGTAAGTTTAACATAATATTGCTCCCCTCATGCTTATATACTAGACTATAATCTAGTAGTCAACTGATGTAGGATACACAGAATACACCCATCAGCTCAAGTTGGGCTGGTCATCACTTGGGCTGGGCAACTATAAGGGGGAGAAATAGGCCTAAACCAACAAAGATAGCATTAACTGGTGTGTGAGCAGTGGTACCACAGACCATCATCGGATCATATTTGTATATCACGTTAAACCTGAACTAACTCGCTCTAAGGGATGAGGTTTGCCTCACACCTATATACCAAAATCTAACCTCGTATACAATCAATGTGGATACTCAACATATATAATTTTTTTAGGAGAATAGTGTGTATGTTGGTACAACATTTCTCACTAAATAAATCTTAATCACGCAATTTTACTTTTTCAATAAGAACCATGTTACCTCTCAGCTGAGTAAAAAGGTACTAACGAGATAAAAAATGATCCCTAGAGACTATTGTATGGGTTCACTCCCTTAATACTCCCTCTGTTCCCAATTATATGTCCCTGCAGGGGGGTTTGATACTAAAGCAGTACTGCTCACTTTAAGCTGTTTTGGGTATATTCTTTTATTAAAAAAAAGGAGGTGAGACAAGTATTTCGGAACATCTAGAAAAGAAAATTGGGACATACATTTAGGAATGGAGGGAGTAACACTTAAATGAAATTTATATTCAAACATGAATATGTTTATTATTTCTAGTTCATGTGATTTGTATATCCTCCCAATAATAATGTGCAATGATAAAAATTTAGCTGCATATCTCAAATGCGTGTGTGAAAGGAGCAAAGAAATGGCATTGTTAACACTCTTGGGAGGGTAACCTCAAGACGGTCACGTTTGAGTTGGCGCTTAGATTTTTTCACATCTAGTAGAGGCTTGGACTTGGCCTCCGCATCCTTGTCCTTTTGGTCACCAGTTGTGTGTCTGCTACTGTCGATAAAATTTCTTGGAGGGGCAGGGCGAAGATATTCCCTCTTTACTGGAGCAATTGCTTTAGCCACTAGCTCTTCCGGGGTCTTGTCAGCTACTAAATTTTCTGGGATCTTATCAGCAGTATGTCTCTCACCACAGCCTCCGTCGCTAATGGCCGGAGCAACGGCTTCAGAAACATGCTCTTCTGGGATGTTATCAGCAGTGTTCGTTTTACCACCACAGCCGTCGCTAATGGACGGGGCAATAGATTCAGACACCCGCGCTTCCTGGACCTTATCAGCAGTGTGCGTCTTACCACCGCCCCCGTTGCTGATGGCCGGAGCAATGGCTCCGGATACCAGCGCTTCGGGGAAATTATCAGCGGTGTCCGTCTTACCACCGCCGCCGTCGCTAATGGCCGGAGCGATGGCTTCAGCCACTAGCTCTTCCGTTGCCATATCAGCAGAGTTCGTTTTACCACCGCCTCCCTCTCTAATGGCCGGGACAAAGGAGTCAGCCATTAGCTCTTCCGGGATCTTAACAGCTGCTTGCGTGTCAACGCCGTTTCCGCCGTCAGCATTCGGCGGCGGTGGATCCTCCGAAATGTACGGGTTACGAAGAGTACTCATAGTATTACTGTATTAGGGTTTTGCCGGGGAGTTTAGTTAGTTAGTTATCTAACGTCGTCGTATTGCTTTCCCGTATGTCTCCTATTTTAAATTGGTTGTTCAGTCTAGGGCCGTTAACGAACACATCTTTTATCGAACTATTCGAGTTAGAGCTCGGTTTCGAACCTAACGAGTCGAACTTAATGAGCTTTCGAACTCAAACCCGAGCCGAGTTTCAAATTCGAAAAATTAATGGAACCAAGCTCGAACATAGTAGTATTCGGCTCAATTAGAACTCGAGCCTATCGAACACTCTAAAATTATAAATATAATTTTTATATATGTCAAATTTTAAATATAATTAGTATGGTTTTATGATATTAAATATGATTAATGACGAAGTGAATACTTTTCGAATCATTCGAGCACGAGCCTATTAACGAGCACCACCTAAAATTTTAAATTCGAGCATATTTATCGAGCTTATTGAGCGCTCGATTCGAACATCGAACGTCTATCTTGCCGAACATGAGCCTCATTTGTAAAGCTCGTCGAGCTTCGAACTCGAACCCGACCACCACTAATTCCTTATCGACCCGAACTCGAGCTTTGGGTGTTTGATCTCGGCTCGGCTCGTTAACAGCCTTAGTTCAGCTTCAACCTGAAAAATTGAGAGGTGGGAATGTGGGATTGCCGATTTGCCGGGGACTTCAGCTACTAAACGGCACTGTATCTTTTGCAATTCAGTGTTCCAATTTTCTGATTATTTGAAAAAGGAGCCTGATTGAAAAGGGAGGAAAAGTCTTATTACTTATTGTTTATTCTTATTCTATTGAGATCAAATCAGAAAATTCACATCATGTACCTTCATATTCATATCGAGTCCCCATTATATGCTCAATTGAGGATAGATAACATGCCAAAACTATGTTGATTAAGTTTTTATATATCCTTGAGATAGCATGCTCAAGGATATATATCTTGATTAAGTTTTTTTACAATATGTTTGGCATCTTCTTTATATAATGTTTAAAGTTAGAAACTTAGAACAAATAAGACTTTAATTTCCCTCCACCATGGCATTGATCATTAAAACATTGAGAATAAATTAGTTGTATCTTATACTTTCGATGGCAAAATGGTCAAATAAATCTGTGTACCGATCGTGTTAGCTCAATTCAATCCTTGAATTAAAAATGACTAATGGGCACCCTGAGGTCTGAACTAGTAAAAAATGGTTCAAATTTCGTTTTTTTACCAAGTAAACACCCTGCCACCCGTCTGATTGCCACATGTGCATATGAAGTTGAAACTAAAAGCTCAAATAAGTCCCTAAACCCGTCACAGTTGTTCGATCAAGTAATCCCTAGTCTATTAAAAAAGTCTCAGAATTGTAATGAATCCAAAATAAAAAATAGAAATGAAGAAAAAATTAAAAAATATATATATAATTATAAAAATTAAAAAATATATATGCGAAACATAAGTTTAATTTTAGACTTTGTATACATAATTTATATCTGTGTTTTTGTATCAATATTTTATTTAACATTTCATTTTTATTTCAACGTTTTATTTTATGTTATTATATTTTATCATTTTGTAGGCTATGCATTAATACGTATGAAATATTAAATACCCCTTCCGTCCCATTGGACTTTACCAACTTCTCTTTTTGGTTGTTCCAAAAAATTTTGTCATTTTCCCATTAAAGCAACTAATTTGTGGTTCTGCACATTTCTCTCCCCTCTGCACAAATTTCAACCACACAGTTTTTAATATTCTTAGTTCTCACCTACTTTGCACTTGGCAAAGTCCATCGGAACGGAGGTAGTAGGATTTTATAATATTTTAAAAATAAGTTATAGAATAAAACGTTGCAGAGGGGGAGTTTTGACAAATATTTCAACCAGGGAAATATATAGATATTATATAATTGTTGGTTTTGACAATTTGTTTGAGTTTTTAGCCTCTCTTTATGTCATTGGGTATGGTTGGATCTATGGGAACAAGTTTGGCTGTGTCAAGCCCACTACATGGTTAGCGATTCATGTTGCTCTTTCAGGGGTGACCGTCTCAAAGTCTCACCATAGAGTTACAGTCGTAGTTGTTGGAGTTTCAGTTGGTGTCATTTTTATTTTCCCTTTGCTTGATGTAATGATCCTGAATCTTTTGATATGAATAGACGCCTGTTTTGATGATAAAAAAAATTTTATTGTACGAAGTATAAAATTTACAAATTACTAATTGTAATATTTTTAATTATAATATTTATTACGGATTTATTATGAATTTACAAGTTCACACTAGTGATGATAAATGATAATAATTACGATTCTTTAGATCAGATCTAATCTGTGTAAGAATAAGCAATAGCTAAAGATTAACAATGTGCGTTATGCCACCGCCTCCGCTGCTAATGGCTGGAGCAATAACTTGAGACACCAGCGCTTGTGGGACCTTATCAGCAGCGTGTCTTACCACCGCCTCCGTCGCTAATGTCCGGATCAATAAGTTCAGAAATCAGCGCTTCTGGAACCTTACTGTCGTCTCCCCCCCTAATGGGCGGAGTAATGGATTTAGAATCCAGCGCTTTGGGGACCTTATCGGGAGGGTGAATCTTGCCACCGCCTCCGCTGCTAATGGGCGGAGTAGGGGGTTTAGAATCCAGCGCTTCAGTGATGTTATCAGCATTGTGCGTCTTACCACCGCCTCCGTCGCTAATGGCCGGAGCAAAAGCTTCAGGCACCAGCTCTTCCATTACCAATCCAGCAGAGTTCGATTTTCCGCCGCCTCCCTTGCTGATGGCCGGGACAAAGGATGCAGCCATTACCTCTTCCGGGATCTTAACAGCTGCTTGCGTTTCAACACTGTTTAATTTCCAGAGTGAGTATTCAGCGGTGGTGGATCCTCTGAAATGTACGGGCTATATATAGTGTTGCTCATAGTTTTTGGTTGTTCAATCTCAGAATTCTAAGGTGGGATTGCCGGGACTTCAGCTACTAAACGGCGCCGTATCCTTCGCAATTTCCCAATTTTTTGAAAAAAAATGACCTACTCCGTAATTGGATAGCATGCCAAAAAAATTGTCAATTTCAATTTGAGATTCACGCTTTGTTGGGGAGCTTCGTTACCAAACGACGTGGTATTGCCAGCGACGGTGGATTTTTTTAACAGTATTTTATTAATGAATTAATTGCCGATTTTGCCCGGGAATAAATAACTCTTTACTGCCAAAAATAGCCCTATAAGCGCGAAAAAATTCACACAAAAAAAATGTCAGAAGTGGGATTTGAACCCACGCTCTCTCACGAGAACCAGAACTTGA